GTTTGAATCTCTTATAATATTCCTATTTTTAATGGGCAATGAAGTATACAAGAATAACTGCTGCTGCTGGCTTTCGAGCAAGCTCGGAAAACAATTTATACATGTATGCTTTTGACCACAAAAAGGAATAATTTAGTTTACGATGAAATACTAGAAAATCGATAGAAACTTTGATGAATATTTTTAAAACAATTTGCACGGACAATGATGGACAAGGTAGCATAATGCAAAATGTATTTGTCGGAAATATAATCTATACATAAATAGAGAACTAAGTATATTATTTATCCCACCGTGTTACACTAAATTTTAACATTAGATAAACAAATTTAACACGGATGCATTTTGTACAGGAAATGAAGCGCATGAAGACAGCTAATATTAGAATAGAAATAATTTTATTTAATAATTTTTATCTGTAATTGTATATTATTATGTCATTATTTTTATTTACTATATTGCTAACAAAAAGTTTTTCAGTTTTTTTTTTTAAATCCTGACTTTTCCATTGCACTAGCTATAACTTGTAGCTTAAGGATATTACTCAAACTATATGTATAGTTGAACAATTTTTTATAAACTTTAATTATAAATAAAACGTAAATAAACAAAAAAACTTTGTTTTATCCATTATGCTACTCTTTCTTTGGGGATTTTTTTTAGGTACAGGAACTATTCATTATTAAATGGCTATAATTTGAAAATTTTTCTCAATCTCTTAACTTCTTAACGTTTTTTTACTTTCACAACTGTAAATTTTAACTTGAAAATGTTCTTTTTCGTTTCCTTTTTTTTTCAAATAGTTAGACTAAATTATATTGAAAGACAGAGAAAAAAATTACGTATTTATCCTTATTTTTTTGCTGGCGTTGATTTTTAAAGAATTTGAAAAAAAAATATATAATATATTGTACATTTTCAATAATAAATATTAATTCATCTTATTAAGGAATCAAATTTAATGGGATATGTTTGATTCATTGATTGTACATATATATATATTAAAATAAAATCACAATTTTGAAAATTAACATTATAGTAGAAATTTATGCTATAATTTAATTTTTGATTACCTTTATTCACCATCGTTGAACCACTTTATTTTAATTTATGATTTTATTAAAATATTTTCCATGTTTCAATAAATCATAAGCACTCGTGAATACGGTAAGAAGTTAATAAGATTAACATTTTCATATAACTACATATTATACGGGAATAATTAAATAGTTATTATAATATGTGGTATATGTCATGTTAAATAATTAAAAAAAAAAAAAAAAAAATAAAAATAAAAATTATTTTCTATTTATTTACATTTAAATATAAAATGCTCATGAATAATGTATTTACTATAAAAAAAAACTACTATATATGTTATTATAATAATAAGCTATATGACAATATTTGTAATTACTGTAAATACAACTTAAATTATGATAACTGTGTCATTACAGTAGCTTTTAAAATGTACAAAACATCATAACGAAAGTAATTTTAACACTATGATAGCTTATAATAATAAAACACAACTTATGGCTTAGAATTACTGTATAACCAGTTTGTATATTTTTTATATTTATAATTAACTTTAAATGTATAATTTTTTAAGTACTTATAATAGACGAATGATTTGTAAACATAATATTTAATTTAATATTATAATGTGAATACGAGAACACTATATTTTAATGAAAAAATAAGAAACTTTCCATTAAGAGATCAATATTTTTTTTAGTATTAAACATTTACTAACAATGTTTAATTTTTACTGATTAAGTTAAAAAAATATATAGATAATATAGTAAAATATATATCTATATATAAATCTATATATAGTTAATATATAGATATAAGATATCGTACATATATGTGTTGATAGATGTTTTGGGATGAATTACATTTTTTCCTTACACGAATTTTGGTGTGAAATATTTAGTAGAGAATATGTTACAATTGTTTCAGATATATGGATTTATAAGTAAATGAGTGATTTGTTAATACTACAAACACAAATTGCACGTACAATGAGGCAGCTTCAGAGAAAAAGATACTTTTCGCTATTATACTATTATAAAATTAGACAAAATCTAACTATATGATATGTGTGAATATATTTTGAACAATTTTATTCGGATAATGGATATCAATTTCACAAAATATGTTGGATTTGTTTTAAAGTTAATAGTGTTGTAATAGATATTTTGTAGATAGTAAAATCATATTTAAATATGTTTATTCTTAAACTTAAAGTCTAAAAGATAGTATATTTTGAAAGTAGGCATTGCTTTGGACCAAAAATATAATACGAAAAAATTAAAATTTTTTTTAACATTGTTACAGAAATTATTCGAAAAAAAAACAAAAAAATTATAAATATAACATAAAAGATAAATATTATATTTATTTAATTTTTTAAATATAGATAAAATAGTTCAAAATATTAAGTGATATGACAAGCTAAAATAAATGTCTAATTAATATTATAATATAAAGGTACACGAAGCATAGATAATTTATAACATATATCAGCCAATACTAATACATTCTAAAAGTATAATTTAATTTTGGAACATAAACTTATATATTTTTAAGCTATCTTTAATTTTGATTTAAAAATTAAACATTTTTAAATTATTAAATGTGATGCATACCAAATACTCCTATTTTAGAAATAAAAATATATTATACTTATCAATCAAATACATTTTTATTGAAAAATATTGCGCACAATGGAGTATGAAGAAAATAATGTGATATCAAGCACACATTGGGAAGACAACGAACAATAAACCAAAATATATAAAGTTCTTGATTTTGTATATATTATTTTTATTTAGTTGTAAAATGTAGTGCAATGACCTACATGTCAATTTATTAAAAAAACTATAAGCAGATTTTTATTTAAAATTAAATTTAAAAAACTTTTAAATTAAAAAAATTTATAATAATAAGATAGATGAAATACAGAAAAAAATTAGTTAGGTACTTATAAAATTATACTTAGCATGCACTTTATATTCAAAATGTTGAGTACTTATATGTTAAATCATATTTTCATGTTTTAAGTTTTTTACTTGTAAGATTGAAAGTTTATTAAATTTAATTCGTATGGTTTTTATATTAGGTACTAGTGCACAAAGATGACCGTTTCAATTATGATTTTATTTGTTGTTTGAAATTGTACTAAATAAAAAACACTTTTAACTATGGCGCAGGATAGTTAGAAATTGAAGTTCAGTACCTAAATCTAGTATATATTTTTTATTATTTTAATTAAGCTATGTAAATGTGAATATAATATGGTTTTAATTATGCGTAGGTGTAGATTTTTCTACATTTTTTTTTTTAAGATACCATAGTTACATATTTAACGAAAAAAAATAACTGTGTGTGAAATGTCTTTGCTTTTATTTACAGGCTACTAAATCCATATAATTTTATTAATTATAGGTGAAAAAAATAATAAATACATAAACATTATATATTATCACATTTTATGCTAAATTTAAATTTAAAATTATTTCAACAAACTTGCATAAAAAATAATTTAAAAACAATTTATATACTAACATAAATTTATATATTAACATAACAAATTAATAATTTTTAACGAGTCATAAAAAAGTTTACGTTCATGGTTATTTTCCAGTTATTTCTTATTTGTCTTTATCTTGAAAAAGCAATCCACTGTAAAGGATTACGTAGAAAATATTATTGTAGAAAATTTTATTTATACAGACTATATATTATTTATGATTTTTTTTTTTTTTTTTTTTTTTGAGATTGTCTGGACCACCGGTGTTCATTTTTCATTTTTTGTGGATAAAGAATGCTATTATATACGTCAAAAAACAGCTTTAAAGAGTATTTTTATTGATCAATACAATCAGTAAAGATTTAAAATCGTCTCCTCCAAAACACCATTCCAATATGATATTATGTGTATATTTGTGTATAATATTATATACGACACATAAGTAAAATAATAAAAATGTATAACATTTGATCATAGGATTTTAATTATGTATTAAAGATGTGATTAAAAAATATATACCATTCACGACTGCTATGCAATGTAATAAAACTAAATGATTAAAATGTTAGAAATCGCTTTTTATCACGTAAGAATTTCAATTAAATTGATTTGCATTATTGGATATACGTTAAAATAATGAATTAGCAAAAAACATGTTTTTTTTAAATATTTTTTACGCTTAAAAATGTTTAAGTATATGGGATCTCTTGAGATATTCAGTCGTATGCATTCAACTACATATATTTTAAAATTTACTGGACCAATAATTAAAAAAGAATCATTATTGATACTGATTTAAACATAGTCTAAGTATAGTATCTAAAAAATTGACAGCTAGGAAAATATATCACCATAATTAATGTGATTTATGTACGCAAAATATAATTATATTATTCTTTAGTCAGGTACAGTCTAAACAAATTCATAATTTATCACTGTTTAACTGTATACTTAAATTTTAAAATCGTTAGATTTTTATATTACAATAATTATTAACTTAAAGTTTTTTATATTCCATATAAAAATGGATTAGAGATAGATAATTTATAATGTAAAAGTATTAAAAGAAAAAAAATTTAATAAAAACAATAAAATAACATATTTTTTATTTAAATTATTATGACAAATAGTAAAGTACTTTTAAATTATTTTGATTAAAAAGAAAAAATATCTTAATTTTAATTATTGTTATTATAGTTATTAAAGAATTCATTTATTGGTGATTGATGATAAACCTTCATTACATATACTTATATTTATGACATTTAACTGTAAATTAACTGCTTACATAGTTTAGTTTAGTTTCGTATAGATACTTGATATCTTGACTACAATTTATTTTTGATTATTACAATGTATATTGCATGCACATTACACATAATATGGAGGTATAATTATCGATTTTTCCTTAATACTGAAAGTTATAATATTATACCATGCAGTTAAAGTAACGAGAACTTACCTAAGAGTAATAATGTGAGATCGGATATGGCCAAGCTAAATAGGTAGTAGTTGGTGGCCGTGTGCATAAAGTTGTTGCGGACAATCACTACACAAACGGCGATATTTCCAATTACCCCGGTGACGAATATGAATACGTAGATGACGGTGATTGGCAGCACGATGTTCAGTGAAAGGTGTTTAGGCCCTCGGGTTCGGAGTAAATAGCCCTCTACTGTTTCATTTGCAGTGTCATCGAGCTGGACCATGTATGATCCACTCGTCGAATTGTTCATGTCAGATGTATTGTCGATACAGCGCCTTGAACACGTCCATCTACAACTGAGGGCAAAACGCACAATTCATTAACTAATATGACGATAATATTAATAATTATGACGACGACTACGAATTTAATCATTTTAAATTTTTTACAAGTAGGTACTTTGGCTATATTACACCTAAATACGTTTTAATTAAAATTAAATTTCGATCGTATGTTAATGCTCGATTTTAATGAGATATATCTAATATATCTATTTGTGGTTTTCATAATACATAAAGAACATTTGTGTTTAAATATACACACACACGCTCGCACACACATATATAATATAAAGTTATTTTTTTGTAGAACAATAGATACAGAAGTCGTAACTACGATTATATATGCTTAAAAACAAGATTTTCCGCGGACTTGGCAGTACATTTTATATTGTTTAAAAATATTCAATTTGAGTAGACAAAATCATAGAATATTTAAATAATACAAAATGATAAGTGATCATGTGGATTATCTGATGTCAACATGATAGTATTTAGTCTACTATTAATAAATGTGAAAATGCATTATACGAGTATAATGTTCGTCGGCAATACACTGTAACTCGAAGTGTAGCCTATAGTTGGTATACTATAATATTGAATCTACACACCATAGAAATATTTTATTGTTAAAATAGATTATACATTTTTTTTTTTTTTTCATAACATTAAAATGATTTTATAAGACAACCGTGTTACTGAATGTTAGTCGGGGTTCAGTGACAGAAAAAATATACAACGTCCAAGTCACTTCGATGAGTAGTTTTTTACAATTATTTTTAATCGAAAAAACAACATTAAATTGTGATTTGTATACAACTCATGGCTCATTGTGATTATTGGTGTTATAGAAATACTAGTATTAAACAATTAAAAATATTGGCTTTGAACGTTTTCCATTACAACCCTACAAAGCATTATATGTAGTTATAAAGTTTTAAACATAATAATATTATTTGATTCTAAAATAGGCTGCTATTTATTTTAAGTATTAAAGAAACTTAAAAACCTTTATAATTTAATAAGCTTTTTACAAAAATAAAATTTCTTGTAAATGAACGAGCAAAATAAAAATATGCTATGATGAACTATGTTAAGATCTACGTTTTTCATCAGAAAATCATTATTTTAAAACGCAAGTTTTATATGGTTGTATTAATACTGTTGTTTGTTGTTACATAATTGAAAACAAGATCTTTAGGTGTAACTAAAATAAATGATATATTTAGTTGTATTTTCGACTGACTGTAATATGTGATGACGAGATTAGCGAGAGTGTAAAAATTGTAGTGGATGAATTTCAGGACGTTAATCCATTAGAACTTAATACACAAATTGAGTAATTTAATTTTCTGTTTCTTTCTGCACTTAAATCTTGTTACACCATGTTTTATATGACTAAATTATTAATAATTGATGATAATAATAATTCAATTACTAGTTCCCCTGATTTATTAACAGCATTTTACTTGATTCTTACTTTACCGCAGAAAGTGCTGAAAGGACATTTAAGAAAATTATAATTAATTAAAAATTATTTAAAAAGCACTATGTCATAAATATGGTTTAGTGGTCTTGCGATGGTTTCTATAAAAAATTAGAATGCTAAAAAATTGAATTTATCGTTGTTGGTGAAAACTTTTGCACAAGACTGTAGAAGAAAAAAATCATTTTCGTCATAAAAACAAAATTTATTATTATTGTAATTATAATTCAATAAACTATTAATTTAGGTATTATGAATATTTTTTTATTTTTTTATTGTTTATAAATAAACAGCCCTATTTTTAGAAAGTTGGATTAGAATCCAACAATATTGTATAATATAATATGGCATTATGGCACACTGTGTAAGAAAAACGGTTGACCTGCACCTATGGCTGTATAATAATAATAGGTATGTGGTATTGCAAATACCAATTATAACTATGAGTTTATAAACAGAAATAACTAATAAATAGGCATGTTAGTAATCTCAGCAGTAATATAATATAAAATTAATAAGTTTAATGTTAATTAATTTGTAGCCTAATATTAAACAAGAATACTATGTATATATTAGAAATATTAAAAAAGAGAATATTTATAATTTAAAAATATAACACAATAATTTGATTACAGTGTATCACAGTCATAGACATACGCGCAAGGAAAATGCTTGTGTAGAGATAGATGTCATTCGAGCCGAAAGAATATAATTAGTATAGATAAGGGCATATAAAATAATAATTAATAAGTATTTTATATTTCATAAAACTTTTGTTGATAATCTCTTTTTTTAGTCATTAATTATAAAAATGGATTATGATTATTACATTGTTCAAAATTCAATATAAAATTAAACTAAATTATCATTTTTTTTAAATTTGAAAATATATCTAAATCGATTTAAAAAAAGTTTGTTATGATTATTAAGTGACGAATTAAAACTATCTTTAATTTTCTTTATTATAAATATTTATATTATATATTTAATATGATATTTTATGTATTGTCACATTTGTAATTTATAATAATAATACATGTTAATCAAATATAGAAACAAAAGTGTTTTATGGAATCAACTGGTTAGTGTTAAAAACAATTATCTACACTACATTGATTATATTTAATGGAACTTTTTGTATCTTCATTTCTAGTGAAAAGATAAATATATTCGTTTAATGTTACGTAATATTATACATTTGAACGGTATATCATGTGCAAATGTTGCCTTAGCTCTGGGAGTATAATACCTATAATATGTTCACCTCTATATAACTTTATTTACTTTTTTATGTAATATTTATTATTTATAAGATTTTATTGGTCAGTTAGATTTATAAAATAAATTATCGATTTTTGTAACATGTTTTTTTTATTAACCTAGTGTATGCAGCATTTGTCGAGGTAATGCAAACGAGTTATCCTTTTCACCATACGAAAATTCCGGTTACATGAAATCAACCATGCATGTCTATAATATAATACATAATATAGTTCAAATATATAAAGATAGACATGATCGTAGTTTACTATCCATAAAACAAACTTAAAACCTATTCACATACTATGTACATTCACAATTTTTTTTTTTTGAAAACTCAATATTTCTCCTATTATGTAACGTTATTATAATAAATTGATATTCAATAAACTTTTTCGTTACTTAATTTTTTTCAACACTCTGTTCAGTAATCGGAACCGCAAAGACGTGGATTAAAGATGAAGCATAATGGAGATTAATAAAATTAAATCTCTTTATAAAAAGGCTATTTAGCATGTGAAATAATTTTTTATAATAGCTATACTTTGGATTACTGGATGTGACAAATTATATGTGACTATATATGATATTTAATATAATAATCACTTATCAGGTTTTTTTGTTTAATATTGTAATGCTATTAAGTGATATTTTCATTTATAATTGTTAATCATTTTTCCTAGTTTTCAATATTTGTTTTATTTAAACGTTATTATTATACACATTATTTTTAAATTAAAATCTGAAATATTTAACATCATATTGTGATTGTTATTATATATTAAAATCCCTCATTTCATAAAATAACCATTAAAAATAAATTTGATATTTTTAACAGCTTTTATCATTAAAAAAAATATTATTTGAGCTTTGATTTAAAATAAGGAAATTAATTTTGCTGAATGTAAAAATTAAAAAGGTATAAATCAGTATAAAATTTCCTTGTTTTACTCAAAGTAGTAATACTTAGTTTCGAAACAATGTTAACTAAGAAGATATATTATATAGTTAATAAGTTCGTTTGTAAATGAAAATTTATATGCTTTATTTCCTTTTCGTATCACCAGAACGACTTTTAATTTTAAAATAATTAAAATAATTCTACTAGATTTCTATCTATTTATTTATGAAATGGCTAGATATTAAATAATTCAAAACAGTTTCTTTTAGTTTCAGTAGTGTAATATGATTCGTCTGTTAAGCTAAAAATAAAATGATATTGTTACAATTATAATCGAATAGTTAATAATTGTACGTAATATATGAAAAAGATTCAATTTATGTATTAAATACACATTACTAAAAGACCATGTGAATTCTTTGCTCTACAATGTTATAATTTAATTTTTAACCATTTTTAGATGCACATACAAGAGAAAATCAACAATTATATTTGTACAAAAAAAATAATTTTTTTTTTATTCTTCCGAGATAATGGCGAAGTAAATACCTTATAGAGTAACATATTATAACTAGTCAACTAAATTAAATTTAGAATTTTAATTTAAATAGTTGTAATAGCATGTATAACTAGTTATATTAGCTTAAATAAACTACCTATATAAATTGTACTCACATATTTTGGTAAATATGTGTAACTTACATAATTGGAACAATTTTAAACTTTTACAAATTCATGTATAAAAAGCTTTATATTCTACTAATTATTAGTTATCAATTCAGTTTAAATCGATAGTTATCTATTAAATTTAATATATTTAACGTTTAATAATAACTTTAAAATTTATTTTTGAAATCATGACTTTATTAATAGACCAACTTTCAAGAGAGTTATAATATCCAATTCTGTTTAATTAAATTAGACGATTGGCTAATTTGATAAATAGGGTTGGCAAATTATATTACATTCAAAACGCATATTCTTATTATTAAATAAATTATTACAATAAATGTCAACATGAAAATGTATAGTTAATATTTTACCTTATAATAATAATTTTATCTATACAAAACATATACGAGTACATCTAATATATTATATGATATATACACGTATTTAATATAATAAATTATAACTATGTACATACATAAGAATATTGAATAATTAATTATTAATAATTGGATTTAGTTGTGAAAACAATAATAATCGAGAGAGTAAAACGATCATTAAAATCATTAATATTTATGGAAATGCCTAATTTAATACATTATTCGTAAATATTGCATTCTAGTTGAGAAAAAATTAGTCACCTCGGCTTGCTTGTAATTTTGCCGTCTTTGGACAATTTTCCTAGTAAGTTATTTTTTATAA